TGATTTGGAATTGAAACTCAGTCAGGAAAGTATATACAATGAAGTTACCTATAATTATCACAGTCTTCGGAAATTAACCTAAAACATAGAATTTTTTGACAATTGGCTCAAAATCTAAGAACTGAGCACATTAATGCCAGAAAAAGTATATCATATGTTTCAAGATCCCTGAAGAGAAAGCTGGATGAACCTTTATCAGCAGGAAGAGTAGGATCTACGCCGCCATTACCGAACGCACCTCAAAAACGGTGCTATTTTTGTCCCAGAAATAGGGACACGAAAACTAGAAAAAGTTGTAATAGTTGTACAAAACCTATTTGCGATGTTCACTCCAGCTTCTTGGGTATCGAATGTGCTGAAAAATGACTTCTATTTGGAAAGTTTTCTTACAGTCTTGTTTATTAATATTCGCTCTTGTTCAAATAATATTAAACATTTAGCAGACAGTCGTTGGGCCTGTAAACTTCTAAATGCTGAATTTCTGTTAGTGTTGAATTAGAAAATTATATCTGAAATTTGTGGGCGATAGAATGATTGCTTATGTATTGCASGMWKWACTGTKGCGTCRAYYWCMGCGWRGCSMGAGYSRTCCGCGCACGARGAACTGTGGCTCAWCSACAKCGTKRCGCTGWKWAAWTAAWTTCCACTGASMACAAAAAGCGCSYTATGCTGTACTGCATCGCGCGCGTCGTACGCGTCTCAATTTGCGCCTAGCCTGGGTATGGTATGGTATGGAAACTGTAACTSTCACRGGGAAAAGTGTAGATAGATAGGCTCAGAATAACACAAACGTRTCATATTGGTGATCAGCTTGAGAGAGATCACGTAAGAAATTGTGAGATTCGGGGGAGAACAMAGGTTGTCGATGTKKTGGCAARGCAGGTMATGTARYACAGCAAAAGTGGCGATGGGCAGGCAGGTCATGTGACAAGGCAGGATCATTCCAAACGGACAAAGAGAGTAATATATTAKCGTCGAGAACATCAAAGAGAAGCGTGGRAAGGCCCCCAAAGCGWTGGKTTCCATCGCGATGACTTCCAACCGATAGCAGGAAAGGGATKAATGTAGACTGCCYGAAGCAGACAAGAGTGGAGATCATTGGACGAGTCTTACATTCAAGAGTGGATGAATATAGGCTGAGACGAAGAAGATCTAGATACATATAAGTGCTTCGTATTGTGGTGCCCGATGAAGAAGTGGATCCTGATTCATGCTCATAATTTCTACACCTCATCTGTGTATTACAATATAAAAATTAAAGGATTTCCAGCTGGTACAACTGATAATTTATTTAAAACTTTTCTTTTAAACTTTTCATGCTGTATTTGAGAAAAGTTACAACAGAAATGTAGATATGAAAATAATAAGTACCTACTGGTCATTCGGGGTGAAGTCGGACAGACCGTTATTGGTCAATATTTTCGTCAAGATCATTTGGTGCACCGCATAAAAAGTACCCAACCGTTATATTCCCGTCAATTAAGTTGATGAGTTATTAGTAGTATACATTTTCGCTGGATAAATTCCCCGTGGATCACAGGGTGAGTATTTTATGAATCGAATTGTTTTCTTGGAATTTGAAAACTTTAACAGACTTGCACAAAAGAGAATACCAAAAATAAAAAATTCAAATGAGTTATTTTTCTGGTGTGTTCTATTACTAGTAAACCCATGGCAATTTCAATAGAAAATATTGTTTTTTGTCTTAAATAATTGCATTTTAGTAAAAAGAAGTTTAATAGAGGTGAAGGCGGACACCATGGTTAGGCAGTATAAAAAAATCGGTATTAATTATAAGGACTACAATAAGAGAACGTCGCCAGCGCACTCAGATATTCGACAAGGCAGTAAAAAACAGGCTGCTGAAAACTATAAAATTCCAAAATCCACCTTACACGATAAGAAAAAAGGAATAAAAACGAAGAAACTACTTACATCAAGAATTAGAATTCCGTTCAAACTCAACTCTAGGCCATAAAAGCAAGCACACGATCAAAAAATGGACCAAACCAAACCCAGTACTCAAAAGCTTTACCAGTCTAGACTGGATAAAAAAAAACTGATGGACGAGTATCTTAGCCATGAGACGGGAACAACTATACAAGCATATAACAGGGTCCATACACTGTGGTGCATGTGAAGCTATTGGTGATAAAAGAGTAGACACCATACAACATACCACAGTGATATTACATGGATACAACTCTTGAAGAACAAATAACAAAAAAACAAGAAGCTTATAAACAACAGTGGCTGAGCAGTGGAAACTCAAGCGATAAACTGTTGTATAAAAAG